CTTTGCTCTGATGTTTCAGGGACACACTCTGCTCAAGAGCTTTTTGGAAACAGTAGCATGAAAGTGAGTTTCCCTAAAATCCCTACAGTGTAGACAGGAAGTTGTGAATTTCTGAAATCCCCTCCCCAAATCTGGCACCGTTCCCCCTCCCTTTGCTGCTAATGGGCTTTTTGAGGGATTTTTTTTTAAAGCCTAACACTATAGCAATGTACTTATTACCTTTTTAAAAAAACTGGCAAGAAGAAGAAGAAGAGAAGAGATTGGATTTATACCCCGCCCTTCACTACCCAAAGGAGTCTCAGAGCAGCTTACAATCTCCTTTCCCTTTCCCTTCCCCTCCCCACAACAGACACCCTGTGAGGTAGGTGGGGCTGAGAGAGCTCTTGACAGAAACTGCTCTTTTTCAAGAACAGCTCTTATCAGAACTACGGCTTGCCCAAGGTCATCCAGCCAGGTGCAAGTGGAGGAGTGGGGAATCAAACCCGGTTCTCCCAGATTAGAGTCCGCACACTTAACCACTACACCAAACTGGCTCTCTGGCAGTAGTGGAAGCACTGAGGAGAAGAGAATGGAGAATCACCCCACATGGATGCCCTATTGCCACTTTGAATACCTCTGCATTCACAGCAGCAATGAGTCCACAAAAGGGAATAATTTTGCATGGAAGCAGCCTAAAACAATATTGTACACATTTATTGCCTGATCTAAGAATCAGCTAAACTATCATACCAACTCATAGCATTGGATGTTGCTGATGCAGGAACTTCATAGTGGACACAGGACTAAATTTTAATGCTTCTTTGTCACATACACACTGTCACAAAACAGCCCGCTGACCTGCAGGCCTTGTTCTGTCTTGATCTCTGTGGGGTTTTTCTTTCTTTCTTTTGTTTCACCCACAGCCACCACCTGGAATTACCCATTGAGAGGACCAGGTCCCCCAGCTTCCCTTCTTTGCACTGCCATTCTAAGACCCACCTCATGCCTGTGTCTCCCACTACCACAGTGACAGCTTGTTGCAGTTACGAACCACTAGGGGAGTAGCAGGTTGCCTCCCCTTCTCCTGGTGCCGGTGAAGGTCTAGGTGGTATGGAGAATAGTTTCTAGCATTAAAAACATCTATTAAAAAGACAATGCCCACACATATACTCTCAGCACAGCAACAAATTGAAGGGATCCAAAAGAAAACTGTAAACACACAATTCCTCTATCCCTCACTGTATACATGCCCTAGCTGATGTTATTCTAAGGCAGGTTCCCTAATTTAGCAGTTACAGAGGTTCTACAAGGTTCCCATTACCTTAGAGTCTTTGTTCAGGCATGCAATCCCCCACATGGCAATGGCCGTCTCCAGCAGAAGCCCCAGGTGAGAGCTCTATCTGCCAAGATGGAATAAGCAAAAAAATAGAACTTTCCTCTGTGCCAAGCAATTTTATTATCTCTCATTGCCCACCCACTTTGTGAGTCAAAGCAGTTTTCCCTGAAGACTCCAGGAAGTTTTTCCTGAAATCCTTCTAGCACCATAAGTCATCAAAATCTCTGTTCACTGCTAGACATCCTTTCTAGCTGTAGGGGTAAGCTGGCCATTTCATTGTATCTGGCTAGGCCTGCCAGTAACATTTCTAAATCCGGGTTGGGTGAGGCTGGACAGCAGTCGACTTTCCCCCCTTCTGCTTGCTCTCTGCCAAGAGAGACAAAACCTTTTTAAAATTCAAGGTGGTGTTGTACTGTCCAAATCTACAAAGTAAAACACATTTCTCCACGCACACAATCAGAAAAATGTAACAAAGCCCCATAATGGTACTTTCCCCCCTTCTGCTTGCTCTCTGCCAAGAGAGACAAAAACTTTTTAAAATTCAAGGTGGTGTTGTACGGTCCAAATCTACAAAGTAATACACATTTCTCCATGCACACAATCAGAAAAATGTAACAAAGCCCCATAATGGTACTTCTACCACACTATTATACTGATGGATACTCAAGTTTGATATTAGACCAACATTCTTGATTGGTAATGGTAAATTTCCCATTCTTTAATGATAAAACGACAGACAGCACACAGCATATACGATACAAATCTTCATTCTTTGTTTGCCATGACCATGTCACTTATAACAGATGACATGGGCTCCATCAATGAAAGCTTATCCCCCAGTAAATTTGTTATTCTTTCAAGGGCCATACAAGACTTTTTTGTGATTTTTTTAAAAAATGTAGTTCATTATTTTGTGTGTTGGTAGAAAACTTCCTTATGCAAGTAACAGTGAGAAGCAAAAGCTGTTCAGAAGGAAACAGGCTACATTTAATTTTGTCTTGTATATGGAACACATGCATTCTTCATCAGGTTACACTCCATTTGCTGTTTTATTCTTAGATAAACACTGTGGGTTTTGTAATGTATTTGGAATCAGTTAGTACAATATGCATCAAGGAATAAGAGCAGTTTATGGGAACAAACATGATGCTTTAACAGACTCATGTCATAAGCAGTGATCGCAAGTCTGATGAGCAACTTTGTTGTTGTTCAGTCACACAGTCGAGTCCAACACTTCGCGATCCTATGGACCAGATCACACCAGGCCTTCCTGTCTTCCGCTGTCCTCTGAAGTTGGCTCAATTTCATGTTCGTTGCATCTATGACACTGTCATAGATCTCATCCTTTGCCGTCCCCGTCTTCTTTGACTTTCAATCTTTCCCAGCATCAGGGTCTTCTCTAGTGAGTGCTCCTCATTTGGTGGCCAAAGTATTTGAGCTTCAGTTTCATTATCTGGCCTTCCAGGGAACAGTCAGGGTTGATTTCTTTTAGGATTGACTGATTTGATCTTCTTGCAGTCCAAGGGACTCTCAAGAGTCTTCTCCAGCACCATAGTTCAAAAGAATCTATTCGCACTAAATTGAAATTGTTATGGATTTAGTAGCTCAAGTCTATTAAAGCCAAGTGGTAACTTCCTAATCCTGCCAGTCTATGCCTTCCACTTTCCTAGTTCTAGCTCTGCTATGTAGTAATTTATAAACTGGAGCTGGCATCTAGAGAAGGATGTGTGCAAACCACTTACATGTATAATAAGCATGGTGATAAATTACAGGCCCTTCTGGTGGTGAACACTTGTGCGACTTGTGTTGTGCTTCAGAGTCCCTCTGATCTGGTGGGGGAAGGGAGAATTGCTGGGGCTGCCACTAGGAAAGCTTAAAAAAGGACTTGTATGCATCATTGCAGTATATTCCTAAAGAAAGCCATCAACCAATATTAATTCATGTCTTTATTCTTCTGTATTGTGGAGGTCTCAGTTGAAGTTACAATGAATGTAAAGTAAACAAAGTGACCGTGGAAAATAAAATTACATGAATCTGAACTTAAAATTTATGTACATAAATGCTGCCTTTAATTTTTTACATTATTTATCTATGCTAGCCACATTGCCAACAGGTTAAAGAGTTTGCAGTATTCCCTATGCAATCTTAGTCTATGTCATATAGTGGACATTTGAAAAAAATTTAAAAAGACAAAAAAGAAATAAAAGTATAATGTTCATAAATAACTGCAAAATATTGCTTGGTGCTGTGAAGAAATGTGGCAATTTCATTCATCACTTCCTATAGAAAAGAAACGTGGGCAGTGGGAGGAGCAAGGTACAGTAGTAGCGAAAGGCAGTATTCACATGCATCGACACCCTCCAAATTATCTATAATGGTACAGAATACAAGATATTACCTGTCAAGAGCTTGCAAGCTAGACCTGCTGTGGCACACGTTTGCAGGATTACAGTATGGTCAGGCCACCTGTTGGTATGCTGAACTATGTACAACTGTGAAAAATGGGTATTTATATCATCTCATAAAACTGTTTATATATATATAATTTAGGCATGAACTGCACTGAAAGCAGATAAGTAAGCAGCACTTTAAGACAAAGTAGAAATTTTATGACCCTACCTTTTGGGCCCTTTTCTTCAGGGCGTATATAGGTACTGTTCTAGTGCCCCACACCATTTGACCAATGTCTTGGTTTGGCATTCACTTCTGGAATGTAGGTCACCTTCTCTGTACTTCTCTTCTACTTCATGGCTCACTAGAACTGTGCTGCTGTGAGTTTGTTTTGGGAATCAACCTGCGGCATAAGGGCTATCCAGTGCAGAAAAGGTCCCACCTTTGGTAAGGGGTTGGATCTAGATGAATCCCTAGGACGATGGGTTGTTGTTTTTTACATGCTTGAATTTAGTGATCGGCATAAGAAAAATAACACATTTTGGAATTTTTATAAATTACAGGCACAAGAATATTTGCCCAATCACAATGGTGTAAAATCTTTTTTTTTTTTAAGAAAAAGAGCCAACTTGATGTACAGAATTACTGAAAACTCCTGCTGCTTGGCCTGATGATGTCACGCTGATTCCATGCAGGGTGTACAAGTGCAGCATGCCGTCATGCAAATTGCTTCTTTGTCTGTACGTTATAGAGAATCAGAGAGTAGAACGCCTGGTCCTAGTAAATCCCCCCTCCCTTCCATTGCAACATAAAACCCGTTTACAAAAATAGTCACATATAATAATAATAAACACCCTGCGAATTTAAAAAATGATAAACTCACCAACACTTTTTTTTGTAAAAATATGGCAAATGTGGCAGTTGAAATACACACAGTGAATACACTTACTGAACTAAGTGTCTTGCAATATATTAAAACACACCAGTTATAGCCTCACACGACTTACTCCCTATGATCCAGGCACCCGTACTGTCTCTCTTCTACAACATCAGCTGCAGCGAGAGCAGTAACTTGCTGCCAAGGCTGTTACCCTGTTTTATAGAGTTACAGTCTGATGCCGGGGAACACTGTCGTATTATAGGCACTGACCTTTAGAGATTTTTTAAAATATATATTAGTTAAAAGTGACAGTTTGGCATAAAACTCCCATCAGAGTCCAGCACATGAATACATCCTTTGCAAAGGTTGTAAACTTTTTTCCTCCCACACCAACGGAGTTCAAAAAGGTTCGTTTCACTTTTTGCTAGCCTTGGCATCTTTACCTTTGTAGTCTCTCTCAGCTTTACTTTTTTCATAGCTGTCTGGCTTTGTGACGCTGTCATAGGAAGGTGGGGAGGTGGTGGAGGAGCTCTCATCCGTTTTCTCTGGAGTGGTGTTCCCATTAAGCTTATCAGTAATCATGTCTTTGATGGGCAGCAGATCACCATCTTTGCACTTACCTTTATTATACATAGAAGTCACTTTTTTAACTTTTTGTTTTAAGAGGAACCGCCTGGCGGCTCGCTGAATGATGGTAGCAGATACTTCCTCCTGCTTTCGTTTCAACGTGGTTGTAATTGGTTCATATGAAACTTTTGAAGGATTTGCTTGCATAAACCGATCCTCCATTTGCACTCTAAGTAAATCCATTTCTTCACTTTCTCCCAAAACACGCTTTGTAAAGGCAAACAAGATGTCAAGGCAGTGAATTCTGTCACCATTTACCATGGGCAGATCCATTGCAATAAGCGGAACATGGTTTGGTTTTGGAATTAGAAGAGGAGGGTCCAGTGAAGCAGCAAAGTCAGAGAGTTTGCTGTACTCTATAAACTGGGATGCATCTGGATCAAACTTTTCCCAGACTTCATAGAACATTTCAAAGTCATCCTCGCTCAAAGGCTCAGCGCTCTCTTCTGTTGCAACACTGAAGTTCTCCAGAATAACAGCAATATACATGTTTACTACAACTAGAAATGATATGATAATGTAGCTGACAAAAAAGAAAATCCCAACAGAAGGGTTGCCGCAGTCTCCTTTGACTGAGCTCCCTGGATGATCTATCTCAGGGTCACAGTCTGGAGGCCCACTGTTGAGAATGGGTGCCAGCAAACCATCCCAGCCGGCAGAGGTGGTAATTTGAAAGAGGCAGATCATGCTGTTTCCAAAAGTTTCAAAGTTGAACATGTCATCAATCCCAACTTCTCTCTTGACGTAGGCAAAGTTGGACATTCCAAATATAGCATAGATGAACATGACGAGGAATAGCAGGAGACCAATGTTAAACAAGGCAGGCAGAGACATCATCAAGGCGAAAAGGAGAGTGCGGATCCCTTTAGCGCCCTTGATAAGCCGCAGGATTCGACCTATCCTGGCGAGTCGGATAACGCGGAACAAGGTGGGGGACACAAAGTATTTCTCAATAATCTCTGCTAGAAACATACCTGTAAAAGAAAAATACATTGAAAATGCAGCATTAGTTTTACAGCACAGTTGTTTGTTATTATTTTAGGAACATGATTTGGCCATTAAACTCAGGATTCCATGTACAAGTGTCAGATAGCTCAAGCTAAATTAAGTCCACACTTCAGTGTCAGTGCCGTATTTTTGTTCCTTCTGATTACTATGACGATACACGAGTAATCATTTAAAAAATCATTTCAAGTGCAGGAAACTTAGCAATTAACAAAAACAAGAATGTGCTTGGTCAATCTTCAATTATCCTAAGGGCATTTTAAAGCTTTTGACTGATAGCACAGCAGAATCAGTAAAACGCTCTGGTTCTCTGAACTTTAATGGGGTTTGCACACTAGAAAGTACTATAGAAAGTAATAAAAGAACATTAAAATAAATTGGTTTGAGTGATATAAGAGCGAGTCAGGCTACAGCTAGTACATGTGTAGAGTCAAAACCATGCTCTCTTTAGGGCCACTTTACACCTGATAATTTTCCTACACAGATAATTACCTGCATGTAGGAATAAAGAGGCCATCTGGTCATATGCAATGATACATTCATATATTTTGTAGCTGTAAACACAATGGGACATAACAGCCAGTTCTGACTTTTCACTGAATGTACCACACAGTAAAATAGACAAGCACACATTAAACATACATAGTTATTTGAATATGATATGAGCACTGGGCTAGATCCTCTGACTTCCTTTCACCAAGTCTTCCTCCAATGGAGAAAACCTGCCTAAAACAAAGAAAGGCATTGTCCTACTCCATCAGCAAAAAAAGTAATTCCTCATTGGAGGATGTCTGGGATGCATCTGGATCAGGCTTTTCCCAGACTTCATAGAACATTTCAAAGTCAAAGACTTAGTGGAAGACAAGTCATAGGATCCAACATAGCAGAAGGAAACAGATCATTGGCTTCACAGAACTGCAGTCATAGTTTGGATCATGCAACAGGATTTCTGCCCCTTCTTACCTGCTGCAGCTCCCCACCTTGTGAAAGCCACTCTGGAGGGTCAAGGCATGTGATATGGAATGGATGGGGGAGGGCTGCAGCCGGGAGGAGACATTTCTGGAAATCAGATACCCTCCTCCTCCCCTTGTATAAGCAGAAGGACCACCCTGGATTGCCATGTGAGCATTAAAATAGCCATGGTGTTCTCAGTATGGATATGTGACAAGAGCTAGACCAACTATCCTAGATGTACATCCAGCCCCAGTTCATTTGTTTTGCAAAGGAAGATCACTGCACATGCAGCTTGGCCCATGCAGCCTGCATGTCTCCAAATACAGTACTGAAGATGGACCCCCCCTCCCATTCCACACCAGGATTACTTTTGCTTAGAATGCTTCCCAAGCTCTGGGTTTAGCACTTCAGCATCAAACCAGTTAAAAGGTCCCTCCTCTCACGAGTAGATATATTTCAAAGGATTAATTTCATTTTCTAAAAAGTCTGAAGGAGTTTATGAAATCAGATCCTTGCTTATCAAGAGACCACTTCCTCACACCTTTGTCAATTAAAAATTTATATTGTGTGAAGCTTGCTTGAATTAATAAGTTTACTAGTCTTTTTCATTGAGTTGCACTGCTAGAAAAACAACCCTTCGAACTAAAGGTATGGCGTGACTCTACAAGCAGAAAGGGCCCGCGTAGGCGAGGCCCACCATTTGCAGGGCCGGGCGGGGGATGGAGGAGGCTGGCCAGATGCCGGGTCGGGGGGGCAGGCAAGTGGCGGGAAGGTAGGCACCTCCCCTCCCTGCCTGGGCCAATCGCTGGGCAGCGGGGTGTCCGGAGGGAGAGGCCTGGGGCGTACGTGACCCAGGCCACTCACCATCCTCACCCCATTCCAGCTGCGACGGGAGCTGCTTGCCTGCCCATCCCTCCCTGTTTTCTTGGGCCTTGGTAAGGGGAAGGGCACAGCAGAGGGGGTTACTGGTAAAGGGGGTTGCGGGTCATCTTTGTTTGTGTGTTGTTAGTTTAGATATTTAGTTCCAGGGTACAAATTTCATCACAACTCTTGGCAGTGACAGCATGGGGCCGGATCCGTTTGGCGGAAATCGGCCTGCGTGCCGTCTTCCGGAGGTGGGTACCCCTGTAAGGGTCTTGGCGTGAGGGCGGAAGGGAACTGGCAAGTGCAGAGACTAACAGCAATGGCCCCCACCGCCAGGTGGCAGAGGAGTTCACACAGGGGCAGGCATCCAGGTGAACCCCAGCAACCTGCCACCCTGCAGTTTCTACCCATGCCGGCTGGCTGGGTAACGGATACCTCGGCTGGCAGAAGGGTCAGCCAACGGGACAGATCCGGTGGACCCATGCTGTGCCAATGTCTATAACAGCTGTAATCAATAAAGTTGTGGCCAATTTTATCCACCTAATTTCCAAAGAAACTGTGTATGGGTGATCATTTTGAATGAGGCGGTGTAAGGCTGGCCAAGCCGCTCCATCCCAAATGCGACCTGGAAACGCAAAAGCTTTAAGTGACTGTATGGCCACACAGAAAGGAAAAATAATGTGCCATGCTAGTTGCGGGCAAATTAATATAAATTAGTGTCCCAGTCCACCAAGGCAGAGGCATACTTGGATGCTCGGGGGGAGGGGGGTATGGGCAGCCAGATATGGGCATGCTTCTGTATGTGAAGCCTTTAATGTACTTCTCATTCTGGATGAGAATGTACATGGCCAACTGCATTATAATGCAGAAGGAAACATGTGGCTACATCCTGTCTTGGGATGCACATGTATTTATTTAAACCATTTATATCTTATCTTATCTCCTCAGACCCAAGGCAGTTAACAATGCAACATTACAAGCTTGCAAGGACACAGCATTTTTATCTTGATTGTACAAGGACTATAAAAACGTTCTCTTCTGTGTAAATCCTTGTAAATGTTTCTTTTTTAAAAAAATCATTCTTGGAAACAAATGTTCTTACCTACAATTGACAGAATGACAACCACAAAATCAAAAATGTTCCAGCCAATGGTGAAGTAATAATGACGGAGGGAAGTCAATTTGAGGACACACTCTCCAGTAAAAAGGACAATGAACACGAAGTTAATCCTATACAAAATGGTTTCCATTTCTTTACTTTGGTCATCTGTTTCCACCATCATGGTGACCATGTTAAGGCAGATGAGAATCATGATGCTGATGTCAAAGGCTTGCTTTGTTACACAATCAAAAACCATGCCTTGGAATTTATTCTGCAAAATCCAGAACAAAATGTTAAGATCATTAAAACTTTACAAATCCGCTAATGATTCCACATTTCTGTTAACAAAGTTTCATCCTTTCCCTTGGATGCCCTTGGATCACATTCTTTAAAGATGGTGCAGTTAAATATCTGCTTTCAGTCACCTACTTTTCTGTGAAACAATGATTATTATAGTTATTATTTCATTACAAAACAATCAGAAAGGAAATCAACAGTTCCAATTTTGCCGAAGCTGCACTAGGAGTCAAGCAAATCATAAACTTAAAGATGAACACTATTACCTGTTATTTCATATATCTAATTGCCCTATTGTGAACTACATTAATTATTTGAATTATAATCCTAGGAAATATATGATTTGGGCACATTTAGGTATAAATGCAGAAAAAAGGAAACAAGCAGAGAAAGCAATACATTAAAAAATACCAAGTAGAAAGGAATTCATTCTTACCCCTGGTCTGGGGATAGGTTTCTGGGGCTTTTTGGATCCTAACTTTTTCATTGCATTATAATATTTCTTCTGTTCCTCTGTCATAAAGATGTCTTGCCCTCCAAAGTAAAGGGACAAAAACAAAACCAGTTACAACCACGTTTATGGATCCTCTTACATCACTGTGTTGTTATCTGGAAACGTATCAATACTTGTAGCACACACAATTTCAGGCCTGTATTCAAGGAAATCAATTGCACAATTAAGCAATGTTGCACAAAGGAATGGTTCAGATAATCCCCAGACTATGGTTTGGGGGATTAAAGGAAACTGCAGGCTCTTCACCCTAAGAGTGATTAACACATGGGATTCACTGCCACAGGAGGTGGTGGTGGCTATAAGCATGGACGGCTTCAAGACGGAATTAGATAAACATATGGAGCAGAGGTCCATCAGTGGCTATTAGCCACAAAGTATAGATAGGAACTCTCAGTCTGGGGCAAGTGAGGAACTGTATTCTTGGTACTTGGGGGGGGGGGCAACACTGGGAGAGCTTCTAGTGTCCTGGCCCCACTGGTGGACCTCCTGATTGTCACCTGGTATTTTTGGCCATTGTGTGACAAAGTGGACTGGATGGGCCATTGGCCTGATCCAACACTGGCATCTCTTATGTACTCATGTTATGTGCTCCTCCACATCTCTTTTACATAGTTTTGTTTTCAGTTTGTACTGTTCTGTAAACCATAGCTTGTCATTATGTCTAAACTGGCCAACTGTGGATTGGCTTCCTCCAAAATTTCCACTGATGGAAGGATTTCTGCAATGTTGATTTGTATATGAAAAGTAGGGTTTAGGGCTGCCCAGGTCTGGGCAGGCAGGGGTTCCTCCAGTTTTCAGGGCTTCTGCTCGACCCCAAACAGCCATACATGATGTCACCAATGCAATGATGTCACCCGGAAGTGACATCATCACATCGGTGGTGTTTCAGGAGACGTTCTGGTTTGAGGGCAAAACGCTATAGTAAATTTGCCTTCAAACCATGGAGTTCTGCCCTCAAGCCACAGCATTGCCGTACGGCAGCACTGACACGATGACGTCACTTCCGGGTGATGTCATCATGTTGGGGACATCATGTGATGTCCCTTCCCCCTCCAGGAACACCCCCAAATCCCCCTGCTGGCGACAAGATAGGACCTGGCAACCCTAATGAGAAGCTTGTGTGCTCCTCTTCTCCTTTGCTTTTATATTTGTTCATGCAAAGTAGTAAACATTCTTACTGTTACCATGCTATTTTGAGAGCTGCCTGCATGCCAAGATGTAGGAAAGCAAGATAAAAATGAATAACTGATGTTGCAGTTACCACAGGATAAACTCAGAACAAAATCAATGGTAACCTTTTGTTGAACTATTTGAAATAAATGGAAAATGCATTGAAATTGAACATTTCTACAGTGATGACTATGCTGGGCAGAACTTAGGTTTAGCAGTTTTAAGACATATGCAGTTTTACTTCTAAAAGCATAGAAGGGGGGGGACCCCTTCCCAATACTTATCTTCTTTTTTTGCTGATTGAAGTTATCTATGATGACACCAATAAAAAGGTTTAAGGTAAAAAATGATCCAAAGATTATGAAGATAACAAAATAAAGGTACATGTACAGGTTCTCTTCATACATGGGTTGATCTTCCACCTACAAACCATTTAAAAATATATATAATATTTTAGAGTAGACACTAAACATGAAAAATTTCCTTCACAAAAGAGCAATTTAATTCGGGGGGGGATTTTCATTCATTAGCTGAACATAGGGTTGCCAACCCCCCCGGTTTGCCAGGGGTCCCCCGTTTTTTGGGGGGTTCTACCTGCCGCTGGCCAGATGGCCGGCAGGGAAAGCCCCACCCCCAACACCCACAGCCACCCATCTCTCTCCCGTGCAACCCGTGTTTCCTCCCAAGCACGACTACCGCAAGCTTGCAGGGAAATGCCAGCTTCGGTCTTAAAAGGGAAATGCGGCTGCTCTTAAAGGGGAAACGCTGGGTCCTGCATTGAAAAGGGAAACGCCAGCTACTTTAAGTCCAGGGAACTGCAGTTTCTGGAGATCCAGCGGTGGACATCCCCAACGTGACATCATCACGTCGGGGATGCCCCACCCCCTCCTGGAACGCCCCCAAAGTCCCCCACTGGGTGTGGAAGATGGACTTGGCAACCCTAGCTGAACAACACTAGGGGTGGTTTCAGAAGGCAGCCGTGTTGGTCTGCAGTAGAAAATTTAGATTCGAGTCCAGTTAGCACCTTAAAGACCAACAAGATTTTCAGTGCTCCCTTTGTCAAATACAAGTAGGAATGGAGGATCTGAGCCTGTTTATCCCAGGTAGGAGGTGGGAGGGGTGTCCTGAAGAATGCTTGCAAAGGATAGAAAAGTACAATGCATATTGAGATCAGCTTGATTAGAGCAGAGGGGAAATGTTTAGGGGCAGAAAATTAGCATCTGTAGTGAGATAAGAATCCGATGTCCCAATTCAGCCCTGGGGGGCTCCATTGTTCTGAACTTGTGAATGAAATAACAGTCAGCAGTCTCACATTGTAACCTCCCCTTTGTTTGAGCCCTGCTACTCTTAGGTCAACAATGTTCACCTATATACTAAAGGAGAACTGATAACACCTTGACTACTGGTATTGCTTAGTGGATTCCCATTTCTTGTATAAAGCAATCTATAAAAATAAACGCAAGCTGTATTGTTCACATCCACAATGTATAAAATGGTACTTACATCCCGTGAATCAACAGCTGCATACATAATATCCATCCATCCTTTAAAAGTGGCCTATGTAGAATACAAGTATTGATGATAATTGTAGAAGTCATGGGCTTAGTTAATAGTCACAAAGCATTCAGTATAGCAAACTTATCTTTATTGCATACATGCAGGAGATTTCCATGCTAAATTCTGGACAGAAAGTAGCTTCCAGTGCTTCCTATGTTTCACTGTGTTTTTTATCCTGTCTGTATTGCATCAACTTCAATTTTTTGTTACCCAGTTACTGCACTATGGTATGTCTTATAATGTTTTTGTTATTCCATTGTATATTCTAATTTTCTAATCTACTTTGAGGCTTTACATAAAAAGCAGACTGTAAATACTGTAAATAAATAAATCAATGGGGGAAAATGTGAATGCAAATGCAGTTGGGGACAAAATGTCTACACTAGTGATTCAGGTCAGTTATATTCCTTCCACAAGGGTCAAAGCAGCCACCAGTACTGCTGTAGTAGTTTATTAGTTCTTCTGGCATGTCACAATGTTTTTGAAGAAAAGGAGAGAAGACAGCGGTGAGTGGAAACCAAACCAGCCACTTAAAAGTTTTGAGGGTTGGCCCAACTCCCTTCTAGTATGGGACCAAATCTTTCCCAGCAGCAAATTGCATTAAGCAGCTTCTGGGCTTTTAAAAACTGCAGCAGTTGCTCAGCTCCAGCCCACTTACAAAGGGACTGCAGGCCTCATCTAAACAGCCATCGCCCTCAAGGCAATAGCACTGGGTTAAGCTCCCAGTGTCTCCACAAGTTGCCACAAGCATTCCATTACTAGGTTTTGCACAATCAGAATCAGGGGTGATTTACACGTTGGGCCCCCATGGGAAGGCCACCCAAATCACTTTGATATAACAGTGTCACTGCAGAGTCAGACCTTTAGAAAACAGTTCACTGTGACTATCCCAGAGTTCAAGTTTCAGCCTTCCTTTCAGCCTGTGGCGTTTCCATTCTTGCTATCTTCTTCTCACCCTTTAACTTTCTGGTTCTAAAAAGCCAGCAACAGTGGAATCAGCTGCCTACCCGCTTTACACGGCATTGGTCAGGCTGCACCTGGAGTATTGTGCACAGTTCTGGAGGCCTCACTTCAAAAAGGATGTGGACAGAATGGAGCAAGTACAGAGGAGGGTGAAGAGGATGATCAGGGGCCTGGAGACCGAGCCCTGAGAGGAAAGGCTGAGGGACTTGGGAATGTTTAGTCTGGAGAAGAGGAGGTCGAGGGGAGACATGATTGCTCTCTTTAAGTATCTGAAGGGCTGTCGTCACTTAGAGGAGGGCAGGGAGCTGTTCCTGTTGGCAGCAGAGGATAGTACTCACGATAATGTGTTTAAATTAAGGGTGGGAAAGTATGCAACAGTGGAATCAGCTGCCTTGGGAGGTGGTGAGCTCCCCCTCACTAGCAGTCTTTAAGCAGTGGCTGGACAAACACTTGTCAGGGATGTTCTAGGCTGATCCTGCATTGAGCAGGGGGTTGGGCTGGATGTCCCCTTCCAACTCTGTGGTTCTATGATTCTACAACGCAACAATGTCACATTGACTCTGACTGCCACCGCCTCAGCTGCTCTGATGACACAGCAGGTCTGAGCAGCATAGGACCATAGGATCCAGTCTACAAAGAGGAACTTGTAGACTAGATTCAAATTAATTAACTAACTTTTGTTAAATTAAGCCACATGTGTATTGGCTAGATTGCAAAAGCTTTCAGCTGTGGTAAGTTAGGGGTTCAATCATAGGAGAGAAACCAGATGTAACAGTTTATTGCCAAGCAAACACAGTCTTCTCCTGGCTTCCTTGGATGTTCTTCCACTCCTACTGTGTGCAGCTCCTTCCCTTTAGCCAGCAGGAAGTCTCTGTAACTCCGGTCCTCTGTGTTCCTGATAAGGATGTCTCTCTAAATTACAACAATCACTACCTCAAATCTTGCTGCTTATGATCCAAATTATAATGGACACAGAGCGAGCTGCTGTGTTATACACTATTACAGCACATATTTTCATAACATGGGAGACAGAAAGGTTAGTCTGCGGGTATTCTATTTTTTGACTGCAGAATTTTGATAATAGCACCGCTAACGTAACATACGACCTGATCCAGATTGATCCTTCCATGTGCGCAAACTCCTAAGCACTCATGGAGCTCCAGTGCCCGGGAGGCCTTTCCCACTGACAGCAGCGCTGCAAAGAGGAACCTACTTTTTTGACAGCCATGTCGTTTTCTTGTATTTCCCTAAATGCAGGGCTATTTTTGGGCAGGGATGCACAGGAACGGAGTTCCGGCTGGCTTCAGAGTTGGCCACGCCCACTACAGCCAAAACCTCTGTGTGCATGGCTACAGAGGGAAGGCCTGGAGAGCGACACCCCCCCCGGCCACTCTGAGGTGGGTGGGCCAGGGGAGCCCTGGAAGGATTGAGGAGGCATTTAAATGCCTCCCCGTGCCTTCTGCAGCCTATCCAAGGGCCGGCTTGCCTGGGCTCCCCACAGCCGTGAAGTGCCCGGGCAAGCCAAGGAAAGGCATGGGTGTGTGTCTTAATATGCGAATTAGCTGTGCTATCAGGGGTGTGGCCTAATATACTAATGAGTTTCTGCTGTTGGATGTGGCCTATTATGCTAATGAGTTCCTGCTGGGCTTTTTCTACAAAAAAAAAGCCCTGCCTAAATGAGTATATAGAATGAAGAATTACTTACAACTTGAAGCAGAGCAAGGTAACCAGCTGCAACGTTGTCAAAGTTGACCTTCACATTTTTCCACCGGGCAGGTTGGTTGTTTTGTATAAGCTCGTCACACTGAGTTTTATTATTAACTTCGCTGGCGTTAAACATCTCGCCTGTTGTGGTATTAACACAATGGTAGAACTTGCCAGCAAACAGATTCACACCCATGATGCTAAAGATCAGCCAGAATATGAGACACACTAGAAGCACATTCATGATGGAGGGGATCGCCCCTATCAGGGCATTAACAACCACCTAGTGTTCAAATGGAAGAAGAAAAGAAAAGAAAACTTAATTTATCTTTTATAGCTGAAGAACAGACCTTCATACCTTTAATGCGTTTCTTTATAAATTGATATTAAAGATATTTTGATCACCATACATGAGGAAACATAGTTGACATTCACAGGAAATCTTATCATTAATGGTAATGTGTTAAAAAAACACACCAAAGAATTAAACTCTATAAAGAAAGTAAATAAGTGCAAAAAGTAAAAGAAAACCTGGTAGTGGTAAGATGGAATCATAATTTTTTTTTGTCCTCTAGGGGGGAAAAGAGAGAAGAAAGTTAAACACCAAGAACAGAAACCAAAGAATAATACGATAAAACGATGACTTGAAATAAAGAATGACTGCAGAGGAGAGAACCCCAAATGCGCAAAATTTACTATCACCTGAACCGAGCTGCAACTTCAAGATAAAAGCTAAGCAACGAGAGCAGTTGAGATCATGCCAACAAATCTCCACAAAAAGATCAAGGAACGTCCATCTCATTTTCCCACTATGTAGTTATTTTTTAAACCTCATCCCTAAATATCCTTTAAATCCTTTACAGAATTTTATAGGGGGAGAAAGCAATAGATCTGCTGATCTATTATTTCTTGGCTGCATCTAATTAATGAAATAACTACACGCCTTTTGGGGAAACTTTGTATCATGATTGGATTTTGTTCTAAATGGGGTATCACAAGACTATGCAAAGTCCCATGTTTGTGAGTCTAGACTAGGTTTTGTGGAAAGTTAACAGCCAGACTATGTCCCAAAGTGTTTTGCATAACATACAAGGCAACCAGTGTAAAAATTTTAATGCATACATTGCATCAGACAAGAGTAATCTTGATAGACCCCCCTAATTCAGCGTGCAAAGTTTTGGGAAAGAGCGCGGCAAAACCTGGGTAGCTGCTATGTGTTCAAGAAAGTTCAGGTTTTCCCAGTCCCACCTACATGGCATCTATTTTCCCTACCTTAACCCTGCAGTGCCCATTTCCTCCCCCCACCACAGTGGGCCTTTTTAGTTTTGTTTTTAAATTGGTAATTGAATAGCATTATAACATTGTAACAATCCCTGTATCTGGTTGTCCGAATTCCCAGGTTTCATTTTTTTTAAAAGTCACTAGTGCTTTTTGTTGAAGAGCTATAAGAGGAAAGGCTCGTTTCGAGTGAGCTACAGGTCCCAGCCAAGGCTTCCGACTGCTGCCCTCTCACTGCTGGGTAAAAGCTTTGCTAGCTGGCATATTTCTTAAGCAGCAACCCACAGTTCCCCATGGATACTGTACTCATGTTCACAGGACTATTAAAGTGATACTCTTCTCTGGATAAACTGACCTCTTACTATTTTCAAGTGATACACTGAAATCATGCATCTGTATCGACTGTGACGAATGTATATATGCTGCCTGTGGAAAATGTATATATATTAATACTGTGCTTCTAAAGAAGCACAGAAAAAAATGTAGAGCATGCCATTCAGCATATAATTAAGCGTCCTGATCGTCCCAAAGGAAAGAAAGGAATTTTTTAGCACTTCTGACTCCAAAATGTCTTTGAAAGTGTGGGACGATTCCTGTGCTAAATAAGATTCTACTGGGACTTCAGCTCAGCTCTTTGCCCCTCCCCTCCTGTGACCACCAATAAATTATGCAAAATAGTAAATATGGCATATTATGTTGAGAACCAGTTTGGTGTAGTGGTTAAGTGTGCGGACTCTAATCTGGGAGAACCGGGTTTGATTCCCCACTCCTCCACTTGCACCTGCTGATGTGACCTTGGGTTGGCCACAAGCTCTGGCACAGCTGTTCCTGAAAGAGCAGTTTGGGTGCGTTCAGACGGGGTGTTTCAGCCGGCATAAACTGCACCGGTTCTAACCGCGATCACACTTACCTCCTGTCTGCGGAGCCCATCGCTGTATGCCCGTTCACACACAGTGGGCGTCAGCGGTTTGTGGGTTTTTTTCAAACTCAGTTTGCGCATGTGCATAGGCAGCCATCCACAGAATGGCGATCTTCACGCATGCGCAAAACACCCCGTCCAGAAAAGCATGCCCTGAAGTGAGGACTTACCTTTAAAGTTTAAAGAGCAAAGTGGCCTCCCTGAGGTCCCAGACTCCTCTAAAACCTTAAACTAAGGACCTTTTCTTTTTTTAAAAAAAAAGCCAGGGCGAAGCTTTGCCCAAGCGCATATCGCCGACCTAACAAAAAAAAATGGCGGGCGAAAATCAGAAGCCTCGGGCTTCCAAACGGAAGTGGCTCTACAACGGTGGAGAGTGATCAGACGGGGGGTAAAGCAGTTACAACCGTTGCACTCAGGATACCACCACTTGGAGACCTAGTGGCAGAATACAACTGTTTAAAGCTCTTTGCAACGGTTAGGGATGGAAGGCAGATGTTCTACGTGTGAACGCCGGTAAGTACACCAATTGCAACCAGCACCTATACCATTGTAAATGCCCTGTCTGAACACACCCTTTGTGTCAGAGTTCTCTCAGGCCCACCCACCTCACAGGGTGTCTGTTGTGGGGAGGGGAAGGGAAAGGAGTTTGTAAGCCGCTCTGAGACTCCAAGTGAAGGGCGGAGTATAAATCCAATCTCTTCTTCTTCTCTTCTATGTAACACAAATGAAATTACACATAACTCAGCTATTTTCAGTGCAAATTTTGGATTGCCCTCAAAAATATGAGCTTTTCAAAATTCAGAACACACACAGCCCGTGTTTCTTGATACACACATACATGTAGCAGGTCTTTCATATCTGCGCAATCCTGAAACCACTATAACCAACATACATTCAAGGAACCCAGAAAGTTTCAGGGGTTTGAACTTTAACCAAGAGATTAACCAAGAAGGTTTGGATAACTTGTAGGGAGGCTGACAACAGTGGCATGCCACAGAAAATAAAACAGTGACATCTTTTAACATGGACTTCTTATTTCTTAATCTATGTGAACAGCCTCATTTCATGTAGATATTATTTCAGGCTCATTCATCACTCACCCTCATTCCTTCAAATCGTGACAGAGCTCTTAAAGGCCTCAAAGCTCTTAGCGTTCGAAGTGATTTAATGGCACCTAGTTCAGAATAGCCCAGAGCATTGGCTACTAAGCTAACCAATGAAACCTGCAAGAAAGAAAGTAAAACATGTTATTGGCATTATATTATAACATAGATGTAAAGAACAAGGTCCTGTTATATTTAAGTATTATTTTGAGTCAGTATTCAACAAAATTCAGCCCCAGAATTTGCTGGGAGGGGCAGGGAGCTGCAGGCCCGTAGCTAACGTGGGGCCCGGTCCCCCGCTGTTTTTGCGGGCCCCTCCCCCATCTTCAGCTCCCCCTCCCTCCGGCCCCCTCACCCCCTGATTTATCTGAGCCAGCATATTCCTGTTTGAGCTCATCTGAGATGAGTATCTTTAGGACTCGACAGCAACTGGTGGTTGCCTGAGTCTCACACACATTGGTCGGATTGCCACAGTTAGCTCCTCCTATTGGATTTTCTGTGCCAGGCTTCAGAAAAGATCATCCGCTCAGGGAAGAAGTGAGGGAGGAAACTTGATCCCTGTTCTCCTTTTTTCCTTTTAAACACGGCAGCTTTCGTAGACCTTTTAGTGTCTATTAACATTGGGATTTTGGCTCATCTCAGAGGAAGGCTCTAGTGGGGCTGGGTCGGTGCATGCCAAGCAGAACCCCCTTGCCCTGGAGTCAGCTGGTGCCCCCCCAAGGCCCCCTCCCCCCAAAATCCCTAGCTACGGGGCTGGGGAGCTGATAACACAACTTGTGATATATGAATCATGTGTAGCAGTTTGTCATGTGCTTGACAACCCTCCTGTTTTAGTATTCCTGGGCAAACAGCAAAACCTGAAAGTGTATGCGGTCCCTGATACGCCACTGCGCATGGTTAGTGGGGCATGTTTTTGGCTAATTGGACAACAGAGAGTATGTTATCTGAGTAACTACAGTCCAGCATTGGGCTTTTCCTCAGAATCATGTGCTAGTGCTTCTCAGTTTAGAAAGTAACCTCTGACTGCACTTTGGTTAGTCTACTAAATCTCCATTTTGGGCTGCATTAGGGAAACATTTTATTAGTAGTTTATTAAAAGATTAATACCAGGTAGTTCCTCAAGTAGAGTACAATAACAAGGAAAAAACTCTTTCCAGTACTACCTTTCAGGGCTATTTTGGGGCAGGAACGCACAGGAATGGAGTTCCGGCTGGCTTCAGAGTTGGCTACGCCCACTACAGCCAAAATCTCTGTGTGCATGGCTACAGAGGGAAGGTCTGGAGAGTGAACCCCCCCGGCGACTCCAAGGCGGGTGGGCCAGGGGGGCCCCTGGAAGGATCTGTCCAAGGGCTGGCTTGCCCGAGCTCCTCGCAGGACAGATCCTCCCAAGGGAAGGCATGTGGTGTGGCCTAATATGCTAATGAGCTGTGCTGTCAGGGGTGTGGCCTGTTATGCTAATGAGTTCCTGCTGGGCTTTTTCTACAAAAAAAGCCCTGCTACCTTTCATAAACTTAGAATAGCTATCTTCTTTCAGAACTGTTGTCCAGTGCCCAAGTCCCTGTGAAGCCCTAGAATTAGAGGGCTTTCTGTACTATGTTTCGTCCTGGAACCTAGATCTAAATTTCTTGTGGGAATCTTAGCCAGCCTATTTTTCTTCCAGCTGATACAGACCTGCATGTCCCCTACACAGTCACATCGTTTGCATTTGGGCACTGTGAAAATCCGAGCCAAAGCCAGGCTTGATTTGTGGTTTTGGGCCAGGATATCTTCTTTTTGCACCCTATTACACTGTATCTAATCTGTTTTTTATTATTGTGGGTTTTTTTCTGTTCTCTGTTAACCTCTGTATTCTTAATTCAAAAGTGTAATGGCTTTTGGCCATATGCAGTAATTTTTTATTGCTATTAAATTAGAGTAAAACCAGCCCAGGCAGTAAATCCGTATAGCAAAGACAAGAAGTCACAATTCATTTAACCATAGTACGGCTTAACCACACTTACAAGCCAGATGAAGACAGAGGGTATTGGCCTAGATGATTTTCGTAGCAGTGAAATTCCCCACATTGATGTTTTTAATGGGAGAGACCTGGCAGTCCCAGTCCTAACCCTACTTAGCTTTTCAAGATGAGAACGGGTTAAGCATGTTTAAGCAAGAGAAAGAATGTGTGTCTGTCAAAAACACATGGACAGGAATTTGCTAATTTTATAAAGGTGGATATATTCTCAGCTGCACAGGCTAGCCCCATCTTATTGGATCCTGGAAGCTGAACAGAGTCAACCCTGGTAGTATTTGGATAGGAGACGACCAAGGAATACCGGGGTTGCTATGCTGAATCAGGCAATAGCAAACCACCTCTGGATGTCTTTTCCCTTGAACACCCTATGGGGTGACCATAATTTGGCTGTGACTTCACAGCAAAATAAATAAATCAATAAAATTAGATATCTTGAAAGTTACCTGTCTCTTTGCAATTTCCTTGCTGTTTTCTTCTAGCAATGGATGCAAAGGGCAAAAATGAGGGAAAATGTTGGGGAAACATATACGGCACGGAGAGCTGGAACTTTAAAAGTCTTTGCTTACTGTTATACTGATATAACAAGCATAAGAAGCTAAAGTTATGTTTGCACCCAAGAGGAGCTAAGCTACTTTTTCCTCTTGCACAAAAAACATACAGGAGTGGTTGCTTAGCTCCCCAATTGCTCAGGATGAAGCAGAGTGAAAGTTAAGCCTACCCCTCATCCCTAATGGATCATAGATATCCCTGCTTTATAATATAAGTAAATATACATTTCAGGTTATTCCAAAATGACAATATAAGAACACTAGGAAAAAGGCCTGTTGTGGAAATAAATACAACGGCCTCTAGAAAGAGGCTCTGGGCGGGTGCCCCAGCCTTGGACACTCAGTGTCAATTTGCTGTAGTGACTTCAGCAGGGTATAATGACACTGAGTCCACCATTTTCTCCAGAGGAACTGATCTCTGCTACCCTAAAGAACAGTTGGAGATTGGCAACAATGGCTCCCCAGAAGGCAATGGTTGGTTTGGAGGGTGGAGTCTATGGCTTTGTACCTGCCCGAGGTCCCACGCCTCCTGAAACCTCACCCTCTCCAGGCTCCATCCCTCACATCTCCCACCTGGAGTTGGCAAACCTATCTCCTTCCTAGCCAATCATCAATCTACCTTTATTTCCCCCTCAGTCTTCAGCTTTCCACACACCTGCAGCCTCTCCCGTGCTCTGAAGCCCTGACTGCTACATCACATTGGCTGTCATACGGGGGCCACCTCAGCAGCATATAAGGATACAGAGCCCACCATTTTCTCCAGGGGAACCGATCTCTGCCATCTGGAAAGCAGTTGTAATTCTGAGTGATCTCCAGCCCTCACCTGGAGATTGGACACATTTTACCTCAGAACAGCAAAACTGTTTAGAATGTTAGAGGCAAAAGCCAATCAAGTCGCATATGCAAACGACCTCTGTGTTCCATGCAAATAACCTCTGTGTTCTGACTGGCTAGGGGGGGGGGGAGAGGAACAGCAAACTGTTTAGAATGTTGGAGG